AAAGAAAGAAAGAAAGAAAAAAGAGGATGCTTGGTATTTCTCTGAAGGAATGTGTTTTATGGCCATGATAATATATGTAACTACTGCATTTCCCTTTTCACACTGACAACTAGGAAGCTCAAAACCAAACATGAACCTGGTAAAGCGTTCAGGGTCCAACAGGACATTTTGTTTCTTCACTTTACACTAAGTTCGGTCTATTTTTTTCTACCCTTACTTCCCCTTTGCCCCATTTTCTTCACTTCTGTTTTCAGAATGTGGTTGTCATGCATGTATTTTCTAAGCTGCTTTAAAGCACGTCTGGCATAAGGCCAAGTGTGCAGTTAAAAATAGAGCTACAAACAATTCACAGTTATTTGGACTGTTTGGTGAAAGCATAAAGGCCCTTTGAGAAGGGACTGAGAATTTATTTCTGTAATGAAACGCACTAAGAAAGCGGGGTGGTTTATCCCAAACCGGAAGAGGTAGAGTTGAGATTCTCTTATCCTTCCAGAATCCTGGAGGAGCGGTGAGTCTCCCCTAGGGGTGAACCAGGAGACACTTTCAAGCCCAACTTGAGGGAGTTTGATGGGACACGGTGCCAAAAAAGGGAGTTAAAGCCAGTACTGAGTGACAAGGAGGAGGCTGTAAACCACGTGGCCTCTAAACCAGGAGGGAGAGGCCCACGTTTTCGAGATGGCCGAGTTACCTCCAGCAGGGGAATGACAAGGAGCCTTGCAGAGAGGTTCTTACTCAAGCAGACACTGCTTTCTCAGGTGAGTTATGTCTCCCTCGTTCCCCTCACCTTGGCCAGGAACAGGCTGGCCTGAGAAGCCAACTCCTGGGTCCGCTCTGCTGACGGCCGGTCCTGGGCGATGCCCGGGTTCTCCGGAAGCCACTCTGGGGCAGACGAGGAGGGGCTCAGGTCTCTTTGAGCTGGTGGCCACCCTGGAACACACAACCACTGAACGCTGGGGCCAAGAACCGTCCTTCCTGGAGCTGAGGGACCAACGCTGAACCTCAAAACCACACCCTCACCCTCCATCATCAAGCTACAACCGTCATATTGAGATCACACTGTCTTTACATGGGCCCCAGGAAGTGGGCTGGGCAGTGTAGCCCAGGTGCAGGAGAGAATGAGGTCTGGATCTGCCCCAGATCACACAGCTGGGGCCAAGTCAGGCCTCTGGTTTCCCAGTCAGTAGCTCAGGCTCTAACTCAGAAAGACTTGAGTTCAAATCCCTACCCCACCCCCTTCTGCTTGTAGGGGCGTGGCCTTCAGCAAGTCCTCAGCCCTCCGTGCCTCGGTTGCCCTGTCAGCGGGGTTGATGTGGGGATTAGGTGGGATCCTGCACGGCAAGGCTCGGCACAGAGCCGGGCCCCCACACGGGCTCCACAGTGACATCAGTGCTCTTTGTTACTCACTGGGCCCAAGATCCCCCAGCTGCTAGACGCAGAGCTAGGGCCAACCCCCTCCCCCCACCCCCACCGCCCTCCCGGCTGCTCTGGCTCCAGGAAAGATACATGGTTTCCACATCTCCATTCGACCTCTTCAAGTCAGACATCCCAGACAAGGGCCTCACCTCCCTCCCTCCCCTGACCTGAAGCCAGTGCCACCCTAAGGCCAACCAAGCCCGCCCAGAGCAGAATCACAGGCAGAAGGCCCTCCAGTCACATTTCCTCTCTGACTCACCGGAGGCCCCAGAGGCCTGTGGGGCTTCGGCAGGGCCCGACCACCGCTCCACAGACTGGGGCTGTGGGATGGTGAAGGATAAGACCTTGGTCCCCTGGGGCACCGTCCCTGTGTGGATGCTATGGCTGGGCTGGGGCGGGTCCGAGTACAGGTTCACCTGTCAGGGAGGGGAAGGCATGAGCACAGCCAAGTCAGGGTTGGGGCAAAGTCCCCGAAAGGCCTCACCTTCATTCACACCATCGCTCAGGCACTCAACAAACATGTCTTGTAGTAATAAATACTATATTTGAGTGGAGCCCTTGGGTGGGGGCCAAACAATGGGCCAAGGATGTGCGTGCCCTTTCATGCCCTCTTTAGGCAGTCCTGATGGGGAGGCAGGACAGGGACTACCATCCCCATTTTACAGAAGAGGAAACTGAGGCTCCGGTTAAGTCATTCACTCAAAATCTCCAGCTATAAATCCTTGGACTGAGACTAGGATCCTACTTTGACCCTAAAGTCTATGGTTTTCCATATTAATAATTTTAAATACTACTTGTTATAATAATTTACAATGTGACCACAATTATAACTAATACAGTACTTCCAGCAAGTATAACTATAATCAGATAATCACATTTATTAGTAATAAAACATTTTCAGTAGTGATTATCACATTGGTAATAACAGCGATTAATGCTGGTCTGAATGAAGGCATAAGCCAACGAGTGAACAAACGAACCTCTCAGCAGTAGCAGGCCCCCCTCATCCGAGGATGGATTTCCAACGGTAAACAGCCTCACGCGTGGAATCAGACCGACGGCCGGGAAAGGCCACGTGAAGCACGAAATTAGAGGAGACCCGTGTATGGTGGTCAGTGCAGAGGCGGGCAAGCCGTGGTCTGTTTCTTTCAATAATGTCTCAGTGGGCACAGCTATGCTTGTTTATGTGTTCCTACGGTTGCTTTTGTGCTACAAGGGCAGGCTTGAGTCACTACCACCGAGGCTCTAGGGCCCCCAAAGCCGAAAACATTCACTAGCGGGCTTCACTGCTGCTCCCTTTTGAGTCCCAGGACGGGTGATTTCTCGGTGCACAAAACGCGTGCTCGGTACACCGTCACCGTCCTCCTATTCATCACCACCATCTCTGTTGCTCCGACCATCGGCCATCGTTACACGCTACCATCACCACCATCATCATCACCTGCGTCGTCATCACATTTATCACCATCATCATCACCACTGTCATTTTGACTGCCATCATGGAGGCAGGTCCCTGGAAAAGCTACTCCCCTGTGGTGCCTCAGTGCCCCCAGCTGGTCAGGCAGCCTTATCTTACTGCCCCCTGCTGTCCCAAGGTCAGGAGTGCAGAGTTTAGGGTATGCCTGATGGAGGGAGCGCCCTAGCCCCCAAGCAGGCAGCCTCTCCCTGCTTAAGCTGCTCTTCACGTCCTGGCTGTGGCAGAAAAATCTACTCCAAAGTGAGGGACAATGGCCCAGCATGGCCTGGCCCCCCTTGCCTCCCCCTCCTTCAGACACAGCCTCTGATGAGAACAAAGCTGGATTTTAATAATCCTCTGGGCCATCTGCTCAGACCCGCCTGTGGGGGCTTGCCCACCAGCACCCCTTTCCTCCCATGGTGACCCAAATCTGGGGAAGACCCAGCCCTCCCGCACGCTCCCTGTGCCCCACCCTACCCCTCCCCCAGCCACAGGCCCGGCCCACCAAGGCCCAACCTGGGGAACTACAGGAACATGCCTGCTGTTCCAGCAGAGGGGCCAAAAGCCCTTGTAGAGGCCTCGGAAGGGGGAGCTGGAGGTGAGTGTGGGTAACTTGAAGCTGTTCAGGCCCCTCCCTCTTGGGATCTGTCTCCCGACAGGCCAGCACCCACCCCAGCCCTCCAGGGTGCCCCTTTTAAGCCAGGTATCCCATGGAGCTCCCTGAGGCTAGATTAGCTCCCTCAGGGGGGTTAATCAGTGAACAGAAGACCAGGGAGTTTGGGAAATGCGGGGTTAAATAACTGACTAGTCTTTGCACAGATGGGTTTCTCACAGCCTTTAAAATGCTAATGGGCTTTATGAATGGGGTGAGGAGGGGGGGAGTAGAGAGAATAGGCAATGTTTCCCCCAACTCCTCTGAAGACTAACCCCGATGCCCCCCACCCCCACCTCCACCAGGGGCTTCTGGACCAACTGGTGGTCATCAGAAACACACATTTTAGGAAAGGCAGTTTTATGTCACCCCCCCACCCCCCGCCCCGCCTTCCCCTGATTCTGTCTGGGGTGGTTTCTGGTCTCCTCAGCCCCTCCAGATCCCCCTGCAGCTGAGCCCAGGGACAGCAGCTGGGGGGAGGTGACTGCAGGGCAGCAAATCGGTGACATCACCATCAACTCTGGCCCTAAGCTGGGGGAGAGAACAGAGTCTGGCAGTGATTCCCGAGCAGCCCCGGCTCCCTGCCCCCACCCCCGAGTCCAGATCCAGGGGTGCCCTCGGCCCAGGCCTTGAGACTCCGTCAGCCCTCCCCAGAAGCTGCAGAACCCACCATTACCTAGTCTGGTTCTGCTACAGAAGGTAGGGTTAATAGTGGGCTTTGAAGACAGAATGCTGGGCTCAAGCCCCAGCTCTGGCACCTACTTGCTAAGTGACAGGCACATTTCTTACCTTCTCTGTGCCTCAGTCTCCCCAGTAAACACAGTATTTACCCAGTTTCCTGGGTAAACACCCAGGACAGTGGCCAGCAGACATCAGCATCACTATTGCTCTTATCACTGTGACACCATCATTCTGCCTTGCCCATGTGCCTTTGCCACACACTCGGTGCCACAGCCCAGGTCCCGCTCACCCAGGCGTGGGGAAAAGAGCGCCCGCTCTGGAGTCAGGCACACATAGGTTTAACCCCCAGCTGTTAATCCCTTACCAGCTGCAGGGCGCTGAGCGAACCACTCGGCCTGGCTGTGCCTCGGTTTTCTCTCGTGAAGGATTTCAAATGAGGTGACCCTGGCAGTGTACGTAGCCTGGGGCCTGGCACCTTCAACAGCTCAGTAAATGCCAGCCCCCTTCCCTGGGCGCCCACCCATTGCTGCCCACACGCTGTTGGGCTGGCCTGGGTGTCCTCAGGGCAATGTCCCCAGCCTGGCTCCCTCCCACGTGGGCCCACCCCCTCCCCCTTGGGCTCTGAGCAGACAGAGTAGGGGGCTCAGCAGGTCCCCGGGGAGTCCACTCCCACCAGCTCAGTCTGAGGGAACAGTGTTACTGCCTCCATGAACTGGCCTCCCTGGCAAGGGCTCTGAGCAGGAAGCCGCTCTGGGGTCTCCTGAGTCTTCAGGGTAGAGTCCTCAGAGCTGGGGACAGGGTGAAAGGGCCAGCTGGGAGCTGTGCTCCCCCAGGCCCTGTGGGACCGTGGCGCCCCCTCCCCATCAGGCTCCAGGATGGGGAGCCCTGCCTGTGCTGCTCCCCCAGGGCAGCTGTGAGATTGGGGGACTGGGAGAGAATCATCCTGCTTCCGGCATCCAGCTGACCTGCGCTCGCCCTTCTCTTGCAGAGAACCCCCAAACTAAGGAGTCATTTTTCCAGAAAGCCAAGTGAGAGTGGGTGGGCAGGTACCGAACACCATCCCCAGCCTCTCCCACCTCCCCTCCTATGCTCCTCCCACACACGAGACAGGTCTGGGTCATCAGCCAGGACGAGGCGACCGCCCGTGGGGAGACCTTGGGTCCCCACCGTGTCAGGGGAGTACCCAGGGCAGGAACTTCACCGTAGCTGTGCTCCCACAATGTCCACCCCTGCCCGTGCCTGCACCGGGCATGGCTCACCTGGGCACCCCATAAACACCTTCAGATGAATATTAGTCCAAACAAGAATAGTCTCCATCTCTTAGAAGTGTTTGCTAGGCCCTGGTACGTGCTTTCTGGATACTGACTCATTCTCCTAAGTGAGTAAAGGATGAAGCAAGACGAGGAAGGAGGGGATGCTCCAAGGCTCTGCCCTGACCTTGAACTTTGGCCACCTCTGCCCTTCCTAGGGACCCAACTCCCAAATTGTTAGATGGCCGAGCTGAGGGTCTGGACCTAATGGCCAGTTCCTGTCTCCTTGGAGCTTCTAGGAGTCTGCAGTCATGAGGGCAGGGCTCCCCCGGGAAGGATGCCTCCCCAAACCCACCTGCAGCCTCCCCAAGGCCCCCGCCCTTCCACCGGACTCTGGCTCGGTAGTTCAGAGGGCTAGAAGGAGCCTTAAGACATCGGGGGGAAGCCACTGACTCCCAGGAGGAAGGTCTCTGTGACCCCTTTCACAGATGTGCCCAAGAAGGCCAGGATGGGAGGGACCTGCCTGTGTCCTGAGGTGGGGTGGGGACACAGAACGGCTCCCACGGCAGGACTTCTTCCACTTTCTCATCACGGCTGTCTCGGGGACACCTCACAGGCGTGTCTCAAGAGACCCGAGAGCAGCCTACAGCAGGGGAGGGGTGCTGGAGCATGACAGGGACAGGCCAGGTGGGGGCCCTGAGAGAGGAGGCCAGGGAGAGGGCAGGTCTGCCTCTCTGCACCTCAGCTCCCACCCCCTTCTCCACTGAGGCCTCCTGGGGCAAGAGGGGGGCAGGGGAAACAGGAAGCCGTGAAGGGCTGCAACAGGTCCCGCTTCCTGCCTCACCCCCACAAAGGGGAAGGTCCCAAGTGTAGAAGTCTCAGCCTCCTCCCAAGTCGTGTGGGGGCTGGGCAGGACAGGGGTGGATGGATTTCCCCCTTTTCACTCCCCCTGCCACACACCGGACATTCGGTCAGGGGGGGTGAGGCGTGAGGCTGCGCGCAAGACATTCAGGAAGGATCAGGCCCAGGAAATAAGCACCAGGAGCTGAGCAGAAACTCTGTGCTGCAACCTTGAGGCTCAGAGAGCCCAAGAAACTTCCTTGGGGTCACATAGCTGGTCAGTAACAGAGCCAGGAGTGGAGCCCAAGTGCTGCTCTGGTGAAAACACCGGGGACCCCAGATTCTAGGATTCAAGGACATAAAAGCTCATCAACAATAAAGGAGATAGAGCCCAAAGAGGGCAAGGTCGCTGCCCAAGGTCACAGAGGGACCTCGTTGCAGACTGAGGGCTGGGTTCTTCTATCCCCAGGGTCTCAGGAGGCAGGAACAAAGACCATGGGAGAGTGACATCTCTGGGGGCCAGGGCCCCACCTCCATCCTACCCAAGCCAGTACCTTGGCCCCAAGGCGCAGCTGGTCGATGGTGTTTTCCGCCTCTGCGTACTTGGTGAGTAGCTTGTGGTAGTCCTCCTGAGAGAGACGGAGAAGAACACAGTCACGCCCCTCACCGTGAGACCCCTCGTGGGAGCCCGCCCCCCCCCCAAAGGGCTCCTCAGAGTGCTAAGAGCTCAGTGGTGGGAGCGGAGCAGACCCCTTCAGGCTCTCGGGCAACACACACCCCGGGGCCATATTGTGAGTGGGATAGAAGGCAGGATGGTCTGCTGACATCACTAACAGTGAATCAGGGATGAGGGCCTCTGGGCTGCTTCACCTTGATATACAACCCCTGTCACTGCAGGCTACAACTACTTGCTCATCTGTCCACATTCTGGGGACAGCTCTGTCAGCTCGTGTCTGTCAGCTCTGTCACCTATATCTTCCCCACTGCTTTATTCCCAGGGCTTCAGGGCCATGTGCTTAATAAGTGCTTTTTAATTTTTAATTTTTATAGAGTCTATTTATTTATTTTGAGAGAGAGAGGAGTGCAAGCAGGGGAGGGGCAGAGAGAGAAGAAGGGAGAGAGAGAATCCCAAGCAGGCTCAGCACTGTCAGCACGGAGCCTCACGCAGGGCTCGAACTCACGAACCGCGAGATCATGACCTGACCCCAGACCAAGAGTCAGACGCTCAGCCGACTGAGCCACCCAGGTGCCCCTTAATAAGTGTCTTCTTAAATGGTGGATGGAGTGAACCATCCAGGGGTCCCACAGAAGACTTGAAAATCACAACTGCATGTATGTACTGGGAGGTTACTATCTGCCCTAAATAAAACGGAACAGCTTCATCAAACAAGTCACGACAGAGAAAAAGCAAAAGTAAACGGCATCGATCGCCTTTGAAGGATGTTGGGGAACAGATGCGTTATTCTGAAAGCTGGTAATTAGAGGGACAGAATCAAGCATTTCACCTGTGTTTCCCAGGTGAACGAGACCTTGGTAACCAAATAGTTGGTGTGGGAAAATTTGACTTTAGAGAAGATTTCCAGCAAAAAAAAATGCAGAAGGAACGATAGCAGTAGGAGACTACCACTTTGTCACCCCAAACGGAGGACAGGATCAAGGCCATGACTGTCGGTGACCACTGGCCTCACAAATCAGAGAGGAGCAAGCATCCCATGCCTCCTGAATGAACCGACTGTGACATGCTCTTGCCAAACACATCACTACCCACATGGAGCTCATGGTCTGGAGGGGAAATAAACAGAGAACTGCATCCTGGAGAAGCTTCTAGCTCTAGACGGACGATATACAGGATAAGGAGAAGACAGTGGAACACGTGAAGAGATATGAGAGGGTGTATTGGCAAATTCCAGAATATGGGAGACTCTGCAGGACACAACAGGTGTCCTCAAAAAATCAATTACAACAAAGAAAGAGGTTTGAAAAAACCGGGGGTCGGAGCGGGGGAGACTTGAAAGGCACACTGATCACATGCGATAGATGAGCTGTGTTTGGACCACGATTTGAACCAACTGCAATAAACAAGCCATTTGTGAGAGACGGGAGATCTGAACACCGATGCTGGATAATATTAAGGAACTGGTGTTGACTTTTAGGTATGCTAACGGTGTCGTGACGTTTAAGATAGAGTCCTTATCTTTAGACATACACGGTAAAATACTTCTGGGTAAAATGATCTGACACCTGAAATTTGCTTCCAAATATTCCAGTACAGTGAGCGGGGGGGGGGGGGCACGCGGTGGGGCCTTAGATGAAAAATGTTGCTGGGCAACAAAATGTTGTATGGCAGGTACATGGGTGGAAGCAGGGTGGTGGGTACGTGGGGGTTCGTTATACCATTTTCTCTCTTGCGTATGTTCTGAGTTTCTCATAGAAGTTAAAAACAAGCACATACGGACTACCCTTGTGGCTGCAATGCAAGCACTGCCCTTTTTTTTTTTAATTTTTTTTCAACGTTTTTATTTATTTTTGGGACAGAGAGAGACAGAGCATGAACGGGGGAGGGGCAGAGAGAGAGGGAGACACAGAATCGGAAACAGGCTCCAGGCTCTGAGCCATCAGCCCAGAGCCCGACGCGGGGCTCGAACCCACAGACCGCGAGATTGTGACCTGGCTGAAGTCGGACGCTTAACCAACTGCGCCACCCAGGCGCCCCAGCACTGCCCTTTTGAGCAAAGGGCTTGGGACTATCTTCACAGCCCGGGCACAACCCTCCCTCTATCAACTGGGGATTCCTGGCCCAGTCCTGAGTCCTCCCACCCGCATCGCCTCGAACCCAAGCCAACAGGTGCCTTGGTGACATGCCTGTAGAAATGAGTCCAGCTTACCTGGAGCTGGTGGACCAGTTTGGTGGCTTGTTCAGGAGTCTGAAATTCTTGGGGTACCCTGGTGATGGGGTGGGGAGAAGGCGGGTCCTTTCCCGGGCAGGCTTCGCCGCTGCTCAACAGTACCTCCCGCACAATCTCAGCAGGTGATTTGAAGATCAGCGGCCTGGCAGGGCCCTGAGACTGCCTGCTGTGGCTCCTGGCCTTGGGGGGGTGGTAGCACTCATCTTTAGGGAACCTCACCCGGGGTCTCACCTTGGAGAAATCAGGGAGTGGGTAGTTCAACTGCCCCCGCCCATACTTGGAGGCATCAGATGATGAGTGGCCAGCCAGAGTGGCTCCCTGCCTGGTTGGCACCCTGTCTTGCCGAGCTGGCCTAGGCAGATTCGGAGGGCTGATGGAGCCAGTGAATCGAGAAGGGAGTGGTTTAGGTGATGTCCGCGTCCGTTTCCAGGCTTTGTCCCTCAACGGAGGGCAGGAGAGGCCAGTAGTTTCTTTCCACTTATCTGCTGGACACTGGAGTCTCTGGCTCTGGGGTACCGAGGAGTCCTGGAATTCTGTGGGGGTTGCCACAGCAACGCCTCCCCCAGTTCTGGGGTTTGGGTTTAGGAGGTGGTGGCTGGAGCTCTGTGGTAAAGTTTCTTCCAGGGCGGTGGGCTGGGGGACATCGGTTTCTCCTTCCCAGGTAGAATCAAGGCTGTCATTGGGGTGGTCAAGGCTCACAGTCCCACTGCTCCAGGACCTTGCAGAGCTGAAGTCAACAGTTGGGTGGACCTCGGAATGTTCTGGAAGTTTGTCTCCACTGACTTGTGTGCCAGGGGCCACCCAGCCTGTGTCCTGACCCCACCCCACAGCCATGGGGCTGGTGTTTCCATCGCCCCCTGAGCTGAGACCAGTCTCATACTCCAATCTTGGGGAGCCCTCCCCAGCTTCCTCCACCTCAGGACCTCCGAGGGCCTCATCCGGCTCCTCTTCAGTCATGGCAGATTGAGGATCCTGTTCGGGAAGCCAGTTGAGAGGCAAGTTGGAACTTTCTGGGCTGTCCACATCCTCTACCTCAAACTCTGGAAAGACAGGTGATTGTTCAGTATATACCAGGTCTGGACTCACTGTGTAACATTACTTGAGTCAGTTCACCCTTCTGGCCTTTCATTTCCTCATCATGTCGGGAGACAAGGATCCCAGGGATCCCCCTCTATGGCCAAGTGCTTACCTAACACCCCCTCTAGTTGTCCCGGTCTTCCAAACCTGATCCTCACACCTGGCTGCCCCCTCAGTATTTCCGGTCTCAGCCTCCCATCTAGTTGCACCAGCCAGAAACTTGGGAAGCACCTTGGCCATCTCTCTCCCCCAACCCCCATAATCCATTCTGTCACTGGGTCCTGTCATAATTACCTCCCACAGAGCTCTCAAACTCACCTACTGTTCTTAACTCCCATGCCACCTTTGCTCTAGCCAACATCTTTTCTTGCCTGGACCTCTGCAGTAGCCACTTAATCATCCCCTTAAATCTCACCCTCATCCTCCATCAGTACATTCCTGTTCCCAAGACAGAGTAAGGTCCCAAGATCCCCACCTCCCTCCCCATTAGCTCTCCTGGTCTATCTGTTTTCTACAGCCCCCCTTCAGTCGCACTCTGCTCCAGCCATGCCACAATGCTCCCACGACAGGGCCTTTGCAAATGCTGATCCTCTCTGCCAGGGTCGTCTCTCCCTCCCTTTGCCTAGTTAACTCCTATCTGTCCTTCAGGCATTAGCTCAACCTTGACCTCACCAGGGAATTCTTCTCAGACCTCCTTAACTAGGTCGGATTCTTCCTTTTCTAGGTTTTCACAGGACTAAATACCTCTACTTTGAAACACTTATCGTAGCTCCGGTTTTTCATTTACTTACACGATTGGTTCATTAATAGTTTTCTCCCCCACTATACTATAACCTCTACAGGGGCAAGGATAGCCTCTGTTTCTGTTTACTATTATATTTGCAGAGTAGATGCTCAATATTTATTGACTGAATGGAAAGAAGAAGAGAGGGAGGGAGGACAATAAGGTATGCAAAGCCCCCAGAAAATGGATAATTGTTGTAATTATTACATAGTAGTAATATGTATAAAATATGAATAAAAATATCCATCCATTCACTATCCTTCCAACCACTTACCCATCCATCACCTACTCACCCATTGATCCAACCGTCCATCCTTTCAATCATGTATCCATCCACCTATCCATCCAGCCACCCACTCACCTATCCATCACCCATTCACCCATCTGTCCATCTATCTGTCCATCCAGCCATCCCTTCCTCCATCTATCCACCACTCCACCCACCCACTTACCCACCTACCATCCATCTATCCATTCACCTATCCAACCATCCATCACCCATCCACTCGTCCATCCACTTATCCACCTAGCTACTTACCCACCCATCCACTCACCCATCCATTGCCCACCCACCCATTCATCCATCCATCTGTGCATCATCCATTCAGTCAATGTTTATTGAGCACCTACGCTGTCCTATAACCTATGTCAGCCTCAGGAATAGACCCAAAGTTTCATGAGGCACAGTCTGGGTCATCAAGCACAGACCCTCTGCCCTGGGCTGATGCACCTTTGTCATAACGCTTGTATCACTCTTTGCTCCCCTCTGGCCTTTCCCCCTGGCACCTCTACATCCTTCAACTCCTTAAAATCTCCTTCAGCAAGTCTCTCTTGTTTACAGCAGCACATGTGAAGCCCAGAGAGGTTGAGTAATTGTCAAAGATCGTGCAGTGGCTCAGAGTAGTCCTGAACTGAGGACCAAAGTCCCAGTCATGCTGGTGAGTTAGTCTCTGCTGCTGGGGGTCACATAGTGAGGTGAGGAAAGCAGTCTTTGGGGCCAGGCAGCCCTGGGTTCAATCTTGGCTCCTCTGATCCCTTACTGGGGGCCATGGGCAAGTTGCTGACCTCTCTGGCAACCCTGACTTGGACTGGAGGCTAGTCCTTCCTACCTGGCAGAAGGTGGTGAGGAGGGAAGCAGACACGACTTGAGCCCTGCCCAGCCCTGTGGCTGGCACACTGTAAGGGCAAGGGACGTGGCAGCAGCTATTACATCATAGCAAGGGGTTACCATGTGACCTCAGGAAGAGATGCTTCTGCCCTTGCCTTTTCATCCCAGTGTATGCCAGTTACCTTTCCCTGAGGGGTTAATGGCTCTCCAGTGAATAGCTGTGGGCAAACCTCACTTTAAGCAGACCTGGCATAAAGAACTTTGGGTCATGGCACAATTTCTACTATCCACAGGGGCCTGCCTGATTCACAGAATCCTAAGTCTGGACATTTCAATCCTATTGTAAGTGCAACAGACATCTCATATCAAGCTCTCGCTATTCTCAATGCTATCACTACTCCCACTTCGCAGATGGGAAAACCAAGACTCAGAGAGAAGGCACCTCTCAGCGGAACTAGGAATTTAGTGTAAGCTGTCTCGATGCAAGGGAAACACTTACTTTAGAAAATAAGGGAGGCCAACATTCTCATCACTGATTGGGATTTTTAAAAAATCTTAAAAATGGGGGTAACCCCTGGACCAAGCAACTTAAATTACCAAGGTCATTATCAAATGAAATATACAAAGATGTACTAATGACATTCATCTCTGCATTATTTGTAATAGCAAAAATGAGAAACCACCCATATGCCCAGCACGAGATTGGCCCCCAGATTATGGAAGAGCCACACCAGAAAACTCCTTTGCAGGCATTAGGAATGATTTGTGGAGGGGCACCTGGGTGGCTCATTCGGTTGAGCATCCGATTTCGGCCCAGGTGTGTCGGGCTCACAGCTGTCAGTGCGGAACCTGCTTGGGACTCTGTCTCCCTCTCTCTCTCTGCCCCTCCTGTGCTCACTCTCTCTCTCTCTCTCTCTAAAATAAAATAAACATTAAAAAAAAAAATGGTTTGTGGAGAGATATATGACGAGCTGGGGAAATGTCCTGTCTATTAAAGTTACACGAAAGCAGGTTACCCTGTCGGTCATAGAATGCATATATGCACACTACATTCTGATATTCCTGCAAGGGGCACTACCGCTTATGTAACTCAGACCTTTGACATTTTTAAATGATAGGCTTCATGGATTGTCATTTTTAAAAAGTCACTAAAACGCCCTCCACTCCCCACCCCCCACCAGGAGATGGGTTGCTCAGGGGGCACCGGTCTCACCCTCTGCTGCGGACTCTCCGCACTCGGAAGCCGGACGCTCAGCTGGCTGCGGGGCCGGGCCCCACCCTGGTGGCTGCAGGTGCGGCTGCCCCAGCCGGAAGTCCTCCAGGAGCTCAGGGCTGGTGGCACTGGGAAAGGGCCCCTCTTTTCCCCGTATCCCATCGGCATCCTTTTTCTCTTCGGCCCAGGCCCAGCGTCGCCGCCGGGGCCCCTTCCCCAGGCCCGGCTCGGCCCAGCACACCTCCGTCCTGGAGCTGGCCATCGGGCCTAGCCAGCACTCCACCTGGGCCACTTCATCTTCAGGACACGGAGCCGCCACTGTGGGCGCCTGAGTCACCGCCGGCTCGTCTCAGTACCAGCCATGCTGCCTGCAGCCTGTCGGGGACACAATCCAGGGACAGCATCACTCCTCCCGTCCCCTCCCTGCATCAGAGGAGCTCTGGAACCAGAAAGCCCTGGGTCAGCTCCTGGCTCCCACCCCTTGAGGCCGTGTGACCTTGAGCAAGTCACGCCGGCTCCATTTTCCTCAATAAAGCTAGGGGGGATAATTCCTCTCCCTCCAGACTTTTGTAAGATTACCCGAGACACAGGGTCGGGAGCCAGAGTCCCGCACGCTGGCAAGAGGTCCACGTATTCCGGTGATACCACCGTGTGCCAGGCTGCGTGCATGGGTGCTGGGCGCAGCCCCTGCCCACATGAGAGCTGAGAGCCCCAGGAGGAAGCAGACAAAGAGGCAGCAGCTACAAATCGAGGCGAGCACGACCTGAGAAGCACGGGGTGGGGCAGGACGGGGCGGGGGCGGGGGGGTGTTTAGTCCACAAGCCACTTCCTCTGGGAAGCTTTCCTGACCCCCCTCGGGTAAGAATTCACACTGGGACGTTCCAGTACTCCAAATAATTGAACACAGGTACTCAAACCAATACACGTACGTTCAGAGCAGCACCACGCGTAACAGCCAAAAGGCGGACGTGACCCAAATGTCGACCAGAGGATGAGCGGATGCACAGTGTGCGTGTGCACGTGCAGCGTCCTAGCACCGAGCCATTAAAAGGACAGAAGAACTGACTCACATCACAAGGACGAACCTGAAGAACCTGAGGCTGAGTGAAAGGAGCCAGGCACGGATCACACACAGCAGGACTCCATTTCTACAAAATTTCCAGAATAGGTAAACCCACAGAGACGGAAAGCAGCCTGCAGTTCCCAGGCGCTGGGGGAGGGCGGAATGGGGGGCGACTGCTTTGTGGGTATGAGGTTTCCTTTTGGGGTGATGAAAATGTTTTGGAAATAGATACAGGTGGCGGTGGCACAACCTTATAAATATAGTCAATGAATTGCTCCTTTTAAAGTGGTTAATTTCGGGGGCACCTGGGAGGCTCAGTCGGTTGAGCTTCCGACTCTAGACGTCAGCTCAGGTCATGATCTCAAGGTGTGTGAGACAGAGCCCGGGGTCGGGCTCCACTTTGACGGCACAGAGCCTGACTGGGATTCTCTCTCTCTCTCCCTCTCTCTCTCTGCCCCTCCTTGGTTCACACACACTCTCTGTCAAAATAAATAAATAAACATTAAAAAAAAAAAAAAATAGGGCGCCTGGGTGGATCAGTCGGGTAAGCAGCCGTCTCTTGATTTTGGCTCAGGTCATGATCTCACAGTTCGGTTCGTGAGTTTGAGCCCTGTGTCAGGCTCTGTGCTCACAGCATGGAGCCTGCTTTGGATTCTCTGTCTCCCTGTCTCTGTTCCTTTCCCACTTGCTCGCTCTCTCTCTCTCTCAAAAATAAATAAATGTTTAAAAAATAATAAAAAAGTTAATTTTATGTGACGTGAATTTCACCTAAATTTAAAAAAGAGAGAGAGAGAGCATGTCCATGGAGTGCAGGGGCAGGAGGGGCGACAGGAAGTGGTTCCCCCTATGGCTGTGGTATTGGGGCAGGGTCCGGGAGCTCTGACAACAGAGTGTGGGCAAGGGGACACAGTGGCCAGGTCCAGGAGGGCCTCTCGGGTCCATTCAGGGCATCCCAGGCACAGGACAGCACACTTACAAGTTTCCCCTCCGACTGTCTGGGGAGAGGGGGCCAGAAGAGGGAGCCTGGCTGCGGAGGGACCAGAGGCAGGGAAAGACAGCTGGAGAAGGGCTCCCCCTTCCTTCTGTCCTCTCCCCTCCTTCTTTCCCACTACCCCCGATACTCCCCAAGCACCCAGCCCACAGAGCAGCGGTCTCATTAGCTCATACAAAATCCTCACTCCGAAGGCACCCACCTGCCAAGACAACGCTGGGGTGAAAGGTCACCACACAACCCAGGCCCGGGCTCTTCCCTCCGTGCTGTGGAGACCATGGTGTATAATTCTAGGCCTCCCGGGAGGACTGACAGGTCTGTGTCCCTGCAGCCTTATGAGCACTTGGGTCTCGGTCAGAGCCTTGATTTATACGGTTGAGAAAAGTCAGCCGGCAACTATTTCTGGATAGAACGTTCCCCGGGGAACGGTGCATCACAAGAAAGGCGGCAGCCTCCTCAAAGGGCTGGGGTGAGGACAGGGAGGGAAGCCCATTCTATGGCCTCTGGCTGCAACCCCTGATCCTGTACTAGGGCTCGGGGGGGGGGGGGGGGGGCTCATTCTCTCCCCCACCCCCAGTCTTCCTCTCTCCCCACCAGAACTTCCGCCAGATCACCCAGCAGGCCTCCCCGTGACCCCCCACACATATGCGGGGCTCACCCTGTGCCGGCCTGGGCTAGAAGCTTCCTTGCACATTCTCCACCTGCCCTCGTCCCAAACAGGGAGGCAGGTCACAGGAAAAGTATTTTTCAGAAGAGAAAACTGAAGGTCGGCATGGAACAGTGGCTTGACTTGAAACTATTCATCTGAGCCGGTAATCTCCAATTTTCTATCACAAAACTCGTCAGAAAAATAGACTTGCTCTCATGCTCTCTCTCTCTCTCTCTATTAATATCTTTAGATACACGCATCCTCATGCTGGTGTATAGGAAAAAAAATACATGCATTAGAAAAAATATATCCAAAAATAAATTTTTAAAAAGCTGCACTAGAAGGCACGTGGGTGGCCCAGTCAGTTAGATGCCTGACTCTTGGTTTCAGCTCAGGTCATGGTCTCATGGTTCGTGAGTTCAAGCCCCGTGTCGGGCTCTGCACTGACAGCACAGAGACTGCTTGGGATTCTCTCTCTCCTCTCTCTGCTCCTTTCTCTCTTTCTCCAAAGAAATAAATAAACTTAAAAAAAAACAAACAAACATGAGGTAGAAAAATCTTTTAAAGAGAAGCTCTAATCCTTGCTTCCCATACCCTCTGGGGGGCCTGCACCCCTCTCGGGAATCTCAGTGGGCCTCTAGCTTGAGTATTCTTAGGAGTCCTCTAAGAATGCAGATTCCTAGGTCCACACAAAGACTCAGTCAGCGGCCTTGGGATAGGGCCCGGGAATCTGCATTTAAGTGAACGTCCCTGGCAAGGCTCACCCTTTAGGGCCGACTGGGCCTTCTGGCTCCTGCCACTTGGAGAGGCGTGGGAGGTGCTAAGGGCCACCGCTCTTCTCTTCCTGAAATCTCCACTGAGGAAGGGGCCAGGGAGGCATGTGGTTTTGTGACTTTTTAAAGGGCTTTTTTCTAGCCATGCTGCAAAGCCGGCTGCCCAATCACAGAGGCCTCCGGGCGCACAGAGAGGAACATCCTGTCTCCCGGGATGACTCAGTCTTCGCAGAAACTCACTGCGACCAGGGGCAGCTGCACATCAGAGGCAGCTGCGGTCATTAGTTGGAGTGGTGTGCGTGCTCCCCCGGCTGTGAAACCCAAGAGCCTCTCCTGAGCAAGGCCTCTGTCTTCCACGCAAGCCACGGCCCTCGGTGCCTCGGAGCCCAGAGCACAGCCAGCCACTCAGCGGGTCAGTCAACAAACACACTTGGATGCCAACCACATGCCAACCTCAGGCAGGGATGAGGACCCGCCCTCACCGCTGGTGCAAGAAAGAGAAGTCGCTGGGCACCTGGAGACCAGGTTCCAGGTCTGATGCTGTTGCTTCCCGGTCAACGGCTGTGCTTAACCTTCCCTCCCTGTAAAATGGGGAGAACGTCACCTGCCTTGCTACTCTAAGGAGTGACTGCCCCATTAAGGTGGGCTGGGTGGTAGCTAAATGAACCTTGAGGTTCCCGGTTGACTTTGGCTCCTGAGGGCAACAGCTTCAGAACTGCTAACTCCCTCCTCCATCCTGAGGACCCACTAACTACAAAGTAACAAAGATGTATATTGAACACCCAGTGGGTGCAAATTAACTTAAAAAAACCTATGACCTTCTACTGTGTGCCAACCACTATGGAAGTCACAAGGAACACTGAAATGAGTCAAAGTGTTCCAAAGTTTCAACGGCGGTGGGGGGCGGGGGGGAGTAGGTGACAATACAGAGGGTTATTGATGAAGGAAGCATGAAGCTGGGCAAGGAGGATTTGGGGGGAAGAATCTGTGGGGAGAGGCATTCCAGGCAGAGGGAACAGCATAGTCAAAGGCACAGAGGTCTGAAAGTATGAACAGACCCTGACTGAGAGCTATGGGCAGGGGTCCTTGAATGATAGTCAAAGGCTGGGTTGTTCCAGTCAGCCTGCACGAGGGCCACAGGGTGGCTCCTGAAAGGCAGGGGGGTTGGGTGAAGGCCCCAGCCATGCGAACTAGGGGTTGAGCCCAAAACAGCCCTCAATCCCCTCAGGTGCTGGGCTGTCAGGTTCAAGGTCCCTGCTTGCCTTGGAGAAACTACCTCACCGGGAAGCACCGACCTTTTGTATGGCTCCCCCCTCCTTTTGTATGGCTCCTCTCTCCCTGCCACTGGCCCTGCCCCGGCTCTCTCAGGGGTCTGTGAGCCCCTTCTGGTCTCTTCTCCAGTTCCCGAGTGGGTCGGCCACCCCCACAGGGTTCCTCTGCCCACTTCAGCCACTCCAAAACTGAGGACCCTTGTCTTTATGTCTCCTATGCCGACTGCAGCCATGCAGCCCACCTTTGCCTCCCCACGCCTTCCGATGCCCCTTCTAATCCAGCCAGGGCTGTGCAGGGTGACCCCTCCCCGCTCCTATGTCCACCCTGACATCTCCCACATGAGAAAACGGAGTCGTAGAGAGGTGGCTGGCTCTCCCAAGACCTCGCACACAGGAAACGCGGCCAGGGATTCAGACCCAGGGACCATGACTGGGAAACCAAGTCCATCAGACTCGGGGTGAGGACAGGAGGAAGGGGAAGGAAGACTCCCCATATCAAGCGCCTGGGCCCCTCCAAAAGGGCTGAGCTCAGAGCCCCAAACTCAGCTGCCCTCCCTGAGCAGCTGGCAGGGCACAGACCCACTGTACTCAAGAGGTTCCCACCAAAAAACTAATCCCTTGAGGAAGCACCAGCTGGATGTACCCCCTCCTGCCCCCAGCTCTCTCCACATCAGAGGCCGAGGAGAAAGAGGAAGGGTACCCTGGCCGCTGCGGAATCTAGCCCCGCCTGCCTGAAGAGCCGGGCTGTGTCTGCTCCTCCCTTGGCCCTTACACACCACGGAAGGGGCCGCTCTTTAGTGGGGACCCCCCTGCTGCGTCCTGGCCTGCCCCTCATCCGAGCATCACCTTTGAGGCCCCTTAGCAGCCCAGGGACTAACTCTGCGTGTGCTGATTAGGACACCCCAGGCACAGAGAGGGACCAGTGCTTGTCCAAATTCACAGAGATCAGAATCAGAGCTCAGACTAGAGCTCAGACTGGGATCCAGCACCCGGAAGCTTGAAGAAATCCCCCTGAAATCCACCCATGCCCCGGGGGCCAGTCTCCCTGAGCTGGGAGAGAAGTAGTAACAGCTGCCACAGCTGTAACTTCCTGGCTGGGCTGGTCCAGCTGCCCTGACTGTCCCAGAGACTCTGTGACTGGCCAGCCCAGAGGGAAGGCGGCCTCCCCTGCCCTCCTCACTCCCTTACCTCTCTTGGGCTCCACCACCATCCTGCTGGCCCAGGCTCAGGGGACCTGCCTGTGAGGTCTTTGTTCCAAACCTGGGGAGCCCCCCGCCTCCATGGCGCCCTGGCCCGCCTCCAGGCCGCTCTGCCAGCCCGAGCTGCTGCTCACAGACAAGCATCGCTCCCCACCTCTCCCCGCCCCTGCTGCGGCGGAGGCCGCCTCGCCTGGGCAGGAAGCGCCCAGCCTGATTTCCTACAAGTGTTTGTCAGAAGGAGGGGGTTTGTCTGCGTGCGGAGTGAGAGTCAGCAGGAGGAGCTTAACCCCTTGCGAGCTCTCTGCGGGTCGGATCTCGCAGCCCAGGAAAGGACGGCAGAGTCTCCGGACATCAGGGATTGGGGCCCTCTCAGCCAAAGTACAGACCGATGACACTGAGGTCCCAGGGAAGGTCAGAGGCTTGGCCAAGGTCACACAGCATGCTGAGCCTGGGAGGAGGCCTCAACAGCTGCAACCCTCTGGGAGCTTTTTCTGTAGCCCTTACCCTCTAGGGCATGACCTTGGCTGAGGCTCCCTCCCTCCCCAGGCCCTGGTGCTCACCTGCACAATGGGAGCTCACACTGGATGCTTGCTTGGCACCCTTGCAGCTCTGATTTCCTGTCCTGCCTTCCATCCTGCAACCCAATACCTTAGGGAGGCTGCAGCGATGCCTGCCATCCCCCCCGCCCCCCGCCCCCAACCCTGTCCTCACCCTAAGCTGCGCCTGTAGCTACAGTGGGATTTTGTAGGCAGCACTGGAGGTGGGGAAGTGACTGATCGGGTGAATGTCCCCTGTTGTCCCCAGAGCTAATCAGAGGGCAAGCTACCTTTCCCCACGTTTCCCTCATCCCATTCATTCATTTGACAGGTTCTTGCGGAGCTCCTCCTGTCCGTTGGGTGCTTTTCACGGTACTGGGAACATGGCAAGGTGCAAGACAGGCCAAGTCCTTGCTCCACTCCAATAAACACAGCCGGTAAACAAACGTGGAGAGGGATGGATAAGACCGACAAGGGTGGGATGGAGCCCTGATCCATATCCCAGGCTGCTTTTGGTAAGCCTGATGCCTGCGGCTGACTCAGACCAACAGAATCAGTCTCTGGACATCCGCCACGTTAAAGTGTCCCAGGTGACCAGGATATGTGGCCCGGGTCAAGAATCTGCAGCTCAGAGAGTAAGGGGTTGGAGAGGAGGGTTTGGGGATGGCCAGGAAGGTCTCCTTGAGAAGGTGACATTCGAACAAGGGACTGAAGACAGAGGCAGGAGTAAGTCACAGGAAAGGCCGGCAGCAGAGTATTCTGGAAGGGCAAGTGCAGAGGGCAAGGTGGGAACCAGCTGGGCTTTCCCTGAGAACAGCAGAGCTGCGTCCCCAGAGGAGAGCGAGCCAAGAGGGAGAGGCAGGAGTGGGGGCATGGCCCCATGGAGGATCCAGGGGTTCCGATTCAGGAAACGAAAAGAAAAAGGAAAAAATCTGGCGTCTATTGTCCAAAAAACGATTCTCCAGGCAATTCTGATGAGCAGCCAGATTTGAGAACCAGAAGGAAAGGAAAATGGATCCTGAGTCAGGGTAGACCTGGATTCCAATCCCAGCCCCACCTCTCGCTAGCTCTGTGACCTTGGAGACTCCACCGCCCTCAGCCTGTTTCTTCATCTGTAAAACAGGGATAAGAAGTGTGGCCCCCCCCACAGGGTGGCTGCCAGGATTCAATGAGGTAAGACCTGCGAAGCGTACAGCTGGGGGCCTGGAACACGGATGAATGAACGAATGAACGAATGAACGAACAAATGAAGGAATAAGGAATGGACTTTCCCAAGGTAAGTGTGTGAGTATCTGGCAAAGCCAGAGCTAGAACCGGATGCCCTCATCCCAGCCATCACCCCACCCCTCCACCCTCTTCCCTGCCTTCTGCACACATCTGGGTGGTAAGGCTCTCCCCGCAGCCCCCAGCCCGAAGTGGAGCAGGGCCAGACCCTAATGAGGCCCCGCCTGCCAGTTCTGGTGACCATGTGGGCCATTGTGCGAGGGGCGGGCTTCCCTGACGGCCCGTCACTCACTCACCCTCCCTCCCTGGTCATTAACCCAGGCAGCCCTGCCATCAGGGCCAGGTGGCTGCCTCAGCTAGACACGCCCCACGGCCCCCAGATAACCCCAAATCCATCTTAGGGGCAGCCGCCTAACACCAAGGAAAGCAGCACACTGGTCCCCCGCCCCGGGGCCCCCCCCCCGCCCCCCAAGTCTCACCAGCGCTCCTCCCTGCCTTTGCTTGTGCCACGCCCCCTCCTGGCACACCATCTCCCCCACGGGCCAGATTCTGCTTAAAGCAACACATCCCACGGTGACCTCATGACACCGCCACCCTCCAAAGCTGCCCCATCTCTTGCCCAGGTGCGCAAACACAAGTGACCGTCGTTCTGGACATCTCCCTCTCCCTTACAGCCCGTGAACGGTCCGTCATCGACTCCTATCGGTTTCATTGCCTCAGTCTCACCAGAACCTGCCCCATCACCGCATCCACACGCGGCCTCTCCTGGAAAGCTCTGGGGCCCCTCCAATCCATTCCTCGCCACCCTGCACCACTGCAATCGTTCCAAAACAAAAGCGTGCAAACATGGTCCATCTGTGCTGGAAACACTCCTGTCCTGCCCGCTGCTCTGAGAAAGAAGTGAAGAAGGTGCTGGTCCAGCCTCTCCCTGCTCCCCCCTCTCCACCCTCCTCAGGGTGCTCCCCACTGTTCCTAGGACAAACTCAACCCCACTTCTTCTCCCTGGGAACTTCTAGGCAACCTGCAGATCTTAGCCCCCACGTGCCCTCCTCGGGGATCCATTTGGAATTAGACCTCAGGTCTGTCTTCCTGATGACTGGGAACTCTGAAGTGCTCACCATTATATCCCCAGTGCCCAGCACGGGGCTTGACACACAGTAGAAGCACAGTAAATACACGCTGGATGATCTACTGAATCTAGCCAGTTGCCCATGCGGTGGCTGTGGCCCTCACAGCAAGCCAGTCAGGCTGGTGTGACATGCCCATTTTACAGGTGGGTAAACAGAGGCCCAGAGAGCCCAAGGAACCTGCCTGCAGTCACAAAGCTGGTGAGTGCCAGTAGAGATTGACACCCACAATCATCCACCTCTTAACAACAATGCTCGGTGTTCACACCACTGCAGCCTGCAGAGATCGTTAATATCTGTGCACGATAAAATTGGGCAGACAGCTTATTACCAACTAACTGCAATTCACTAAGCCAACGTTCTAAATCGACAATGAAGCTCTCGTTCCACACAGAGCCTTTCAGGGGCTTTTTCTTTTTCTTCTAAGTTTATTTATTTATTATTTTGAGAGAGACGGGGAAAGGGGCGAGAGAGAAGGGGAGAGAGGATCCCAAGCAGGCTCCACGCTATCAGCTCAGAACCTGATGCCGAGCTCGAACTCACGGACTGGGTGTGAGTGAGATCAAGACCTGAGCCGAAATCAAGAGTCGGATGCTTAACTGACTGAGGCACCCAGACGCCCTCGGGGGCTTTTCTAAACTGCTTTCTTGTCCTTCATTGCACAAGATGCTTCAAGAATAGCCTTGGGAAATGGGCAGGACAGCAGCACGATCTCCTTTACAGGTAAGGAAACGGAGACCCAGAGATGGGGAAGGGATTAGGTTCTGGTCACCCAACAAAAACAAAGCAACAACAAAATCCTTTGGCCCCCAGCCTTGAGTACCTTTACCAGAAGCGTGCCCACATCCTGCTAAATCTGCACAAGCCTGCCTCCTGGCCGCAGGGGCCCAGCAAGCCTTTGGCCATTTGTCCCCTCTAGCCCCTGGGTCGTGAGGCTCCAGCACCTCGAAGGCCATCCTCAACCACCCTCCTACTGCCCATCACTCAGCCATTGGCTCCCCGCCCTCTGTCCACATTCCCTCTTGAGCCCCACCTAAGTGCCCAGCGTGATAACCAGAATGGAAGGTAGGTCTGCCTTTCTCTAAGACTTCTGGTGCGGCCCAGGACATGGCTCGGGACTGGGATGGGCCTTGCTCGTTGGGGTGACCTACCTTGAACACAACGTCCCGAGCCCCGGAGGTACAGTGAGGCCACAGGGCTTTCCAGCCATTGAGGGGAAATTGGGGACTGGCAGCTTCAGAATTCATGGGGACTCCCTTCCTTGGGAAAGAAATGACCCCCCCCCCCCAAGGTCATCCACTCCTTCTGGCCCAGGCTGCTGAATTTACCCTGTAGTTAAAGCCCACAGGGAATTTGGGTGGTAGGTGAGCTGGCCAAGAAGAACTGGGGAAGCAGAGACCCATGTGACAGCCTGAGTGTCACTGAACAAGTGCCTTCCCCTCCCTTAGCCTGGAAATCTTGAGGCTTGATGAGATTACTTCTGAGGTTGTCAGAAATAACCTTCTAGCACTAAATCTCCTGGGTTCTTTGATTCCACTTGCCAACACCAGTAGAAACGCCATGGTGATGGGAGGCTGCAAGGTACAGGGGCTTCTGGAACATGTGCTTTATGGGCAGAGATCTCCAGCTTCTCTTTGAAACCTGTGTGTCCTTGGGCAAGTGGCTTAACCTCTCTGAACCCCAGATTTCTTTTCTGTAAAATGGGGGTAATACGGACTTCACAGAATTGTTGGGATGATAAATGAGGCTATGGGCCTAAAGTCCTGGCCCACAGCCCAGCTGGCACAGAGCTCATGAATAAATGACTTTGGCCATACCCGTGAAACGCCCATATGGCCTGCTCCCTGCAGGACTGAGTTTAATTTTCCTGGCTCTGGAGCTCCCCTAAGATCAGTCACAGACCTCTTCTGGGTCTTCTACAGAAAAAGGGATGGCCAGCTCTTCCAAGTGCAGAGAAATGGTGTCATTTCCCTGTGGCCCTCTTCCCTGTGGCCTCCAAACGATCCCAGGGCTCGCCAATCCAGATAGAAACCATGTCTTCGCCCTGAAGAGTTAAGGAGGGGGGGATGCGGGCCTTCCTCAGCCAACCGCCGCATGGCGATGAGGAGGGTGTGGCCATACAAGCAAAACACACACACGCATAAGCATTTGCACACACACACACACACACACACACACACACACCCTTAAATTCACGCTCCATGAAAAGCGTCCACCAAAAAAAGGTGAATGCATTGCTAACAGCAAGACGTTATTGCACACCTATCACGTAAAGGCCTTTCCGTGGATTAGGATGTCATCATTTAATCCTTACGCCAATCCAAGGAGGCAAGAAGTATTCTCCCCATGTCACAGGAGAGGAAGCTGGCTTTGAACCACGCCGTGCGAATCTAGACAGTACAGTCTTCTGTATCTGTGACCGAACCTTGCAGTACGTGAAAAGATTGAAAGCAACCTCGGTGTCCAACCTTAGGGGACCACTGAAATAAATTATGATGTTTCTGCTCAAAGGAGCATCATGCAGCTGTCACCGGTCCTGTTGTGGAAGGAGATACAGTGGCGTAGACGTGAGACACGCTGAGGGAGCCGTTATAAAATCATCTGTATCTAGTTTGAGCCCATTACATACAAAGAACAACAGTTAACATACGGAGGAAGAGAAGGAAACGAGGGAGGGAAACAGAGAGAGAGAGAGAGAGGGGTGAGCCACAATGTTTATAGTAATTAGTACTAGGTAATACAATTATAGCCAAGTTTACTCTTTCTCCTTATGTGTGTTTTCCAAAAATAACAGCTGCTTTAAAAATAAGAGTAAAATGAAGATTCGCTGTTCTTATGCC